TTTTCACCCATGGTCTCTTGGTTAGTTACCCAACAGAACTTTAAATGACTTCACAAGAAACTTAACAAGGATGATGCAAACCTTTAGGGAGAGTATCTCCAAGAGCAACTTTCTCTAAAGAAACCACCACCACATTGGGGACCAGAAATTTGAATCACCAAAGAAACAGGATAAAAGAACTTAGCCAAAAGTTTAATATCAGCAGCTTCAGATCTGAGAAAAATCCCAAGAACCTAGCTTGAAGATACAAACCACTCGCCAGAACACCTCCTGCAAGGGAGAATATACCCACAAGGACTCACATCCCTCGGGGGAGGAAATGTTTCCTGCTCTGGATATTTGAACACCACCATTAAGTCAGCAACCTTTGCCTTAAGGTTGGTAATGGGAAATCCAGATAAAGAGTCTTGCATATATTTTCACTTGATCAAACTGTCCTTCAACAATTTAGAATTCACCAAAAATCTAGAAATACCTAAAATCCCAAAATAATACAGACCACAAGAGGGTTAAGAACAAGAGATAGCTATACTGAAGTATAATTGTACAACTTAAATAATCCTTAAACAGAGTCCTTTCTAATTTCAACCCCACCAGAACCCAAAAACTGACCACATGATACATCAAACTAGTACAGAAGCATACCCTTAATGTGTGAAGTCCTCTGTGACAAAAGAAAAAAAAATCAACTAGTCCATGTTGCAAGCCTCCATTTGAAATTCTCCATCAACAGGTTCCAAAGAATTTTCCTTGATTCAATTTGCACAGTAACCAACCTCATGTTTACAGAGAATCTCGTTGACCACATACACTATCACATCATATCACCTAACACTCCAGTTTTACCAGCCTCTTAGCCCACTCTAACAAAATAGCTCTTGCTTATGTTAATTCTGATCTCAAGATCACTCTTAAACACTCTGCTGGAGAAGAATTGGCATCGCATAAGAACAACATGCCATCTACATACCAGAGAAATACTACTTCCTCCAACCAAAATGTGGATCCTGCAGTAAGGCATAGATTTCCAAGTGTCTTATCAAATTGTTTTTGAGTCAACTCGGCTCAAGACTGAGCCAAGTCCTAAACAAGTCAGGTCCAATCTTTAGATCAGGATTGCCACCATTCCCGACAACTGACTAGCACAGTTCAGGTTAGATCAGGAAGAGGTTGGGAGCAAGATTGAAAGTAAGATCCTCAGAAGGTTGGGATCTTGAACCCTGGCATTTAGGGATCTAGATATGCATTGTACATATGACACTCCCAACCATAGGGATCTTCTACCAAAATTTCACAATCCCCCACTCCCAATCCCAATCCCACTACTGATCCCACTCCTGATCCCAACAACTATGATTGGAATATAGCAGCCAATGAGATTGCAGGGCAGATATGGATGAAGACAGAAATTCCAAAGGATATTGCATCAGGTATTCTCAACAAAATTAGGAAAAGGGGGTGTCCTCATGGGAGATTAATTTAATGTTATCTTTTCAGGCAGATTGAGAGGTTTGCACATAACAAAGTCCAGAGAAAGAAGTATATCGGAATGGAGCTGGAGGGACCATTGGAAGGGAACCAAACTAGGACAGAGCTATGGGATACAAGGAATCAAAAAAGCAATAGCCTAATGGAAAAGAATGTGTGGTATTGGGTGTCACATTAGGGATACAGAGGTTTGCACACTTGGAGTTTCAGTGATGAATTTCAATTTTATGGCGTCCATTTGTGCTTACGTCTTCTTTAATACTATATATCAAGAAAATAAAAGCCAATGCAGCTACAAATCAATCTGAAATTTGCAAGCAAAGCCACTTCATATTTAGTGAGAATGACAGCTCGATGAAGTCCTTGAAAACACCATATCATTATGTATAAGTAATGGGATCAAACCTGATCGAGAAACTTTCCAGCTAGCACAGGGTCTCCAACCTTGACCAACTCTTGGATACCACGCTGTTGACAGCTACAGAAAATAGATGCAGCCAAAAGATCAAGATGCCTGACTTGGTATTTAACTAACATTTATTTTTGCTCAATCATGGTCGAATTATCAGCTTACATAAAATGCCAGATGAAGGACCATTCAACACAATAAATGTTATATAGTAACCTCTGATCGACCAAACAAAGAAACTTTTTCTGTTATAATTTCTGTTTTAATTTAAAGTACAACTACATACAAAATACTTCAGCAATAAGTAAAAGCAGCATTAAGATGCATATGCACATCTGAATGAAATAACCATTCTATGCACATCGGAATGAAAATAACCATTCTACTCGAACATGTCACATAAGGGATAGAATAAACAGAGCAATGTGATTTTAAATATATCACATTATGAGCACATCAGGATCAAGTTACTAGGAATAAACAATAATCCCAAGGTAACCTGGAATAAGAAACATAAAGCAACCTGCTCAAAGGGAACATGAAGCAGATGAGTGACAGAAGTGCTTCTATACCAGAGGCAAAGGAAGTCATAATTCAAAGGCATTTAGAGGGATCCCAACAAGTGCTCCACAGGGGCACCCAAATGGAATCGGTTCAAACCCAATTCCAGTCGTAGGTTCCAAATGTAAGCAGAAAATTACAGGATGAACAAAATTTCCAGATCCAAAGCAGAAATGGCAGTTTCCTTCAAAGCACAACTGGATGAAAAAGATAAATGTATCTGCTGAAATTAGATATCCACTTCCACGTCCAAGAAACAATCTCAATATAAGATAGATGGTGCCATCAAAAACATAAGTCCACTCATTCAAAACTAATTTTCTGAACCTAGAAACTGCACTAGAGCTATAAATTCAGGGATATGTGTTGTTTTAGAAAAGTAACCACATATTCTGGAATATATGCCTAGTCAGGAAATAGAATTCAAGTACTTGAGGGCATGGGACGCAGCCTTCTATACAACTAGAGAACCCATGTCACTCTCAGCATAGTCGCACCCATCCTCAAGAAGGATATTGCAGCTGTATATTTTTTCACATCCACATTCGGCAGATCACGCTCTTGAACAGAAAATTTTCAATTAAAAGAGAAAACCATAGTTACTGGGATCGCCCCAAAGGGCATAGTTCCAGCTCCTGAAACCAGCTCTCACTCTCCAAATCAGGGATCTCAATCGGAGCTCCCTTTTTTTTTTTAGGGAGCTCGATCCTTTTTCTAGGAATCTCAATCAGTTATTCATAGGGATCTGGATCCCCCCAAAGGGAGCTCAATCCCGCTATTTATGGATTTTGATGCCTATCATGCATAAGATCTCGATCCCCCAATTCAGGGATCTCAATCCCAATATTTGTGGATCTCCATCTATATCCTGTAGTGATCCCAAACATCAAGAATTAAAACAATGAGAGAGCTATATATAGATTGAGGACAATAGATATTCAACTAGAGTTGTAATTGTATAAACCATATCAAGAATTAGAATAATTAAAGCATTTAACACAATAGGAAGAGAAAACCATGTCCATTGCGCAATGGGATCTAGTTTCCCTAGCCTTGGGACTGCAATCCTTTATAGCTATGGATCGAGGACCCCAATTTATATAGATCGTCATCCCCAGGTTTTTGGGGTTGAGATCCCATATGAAGTGGGAAAGGCGGCCTTTGCACAATGGGATCCAGATCCCAAGAGTGTTGGGATTTAGATCCTTTATATATGGGATACAACCCCAGGTTAGATACGTTGTACAAATCGCGATCCAGGACTACTGGGTCTTTTGGCCCATGTCGATCCGACAATCCCGTTCCCAACCCAGGAGCTATTCAAGATCCAGTGCCCGGTAACCATGGAGAAAACACAATTTTCTTATTAGAGGAAATATCACATGGTTAAAGAAAATTTCAACTCTGGTAATACAAAGAAGATCTATAGATTCACGTGCAGGGCTCAACAAGTTTTTCAAAACAAAGATTAAAACAAAGGCATGCTGATAGGACAAACATAATGACCACTACTAAACTGAATCCGGTGATTACCAAAAGGAGACTCACTCTGGATGCACACCACAAGAGCATTATACATTAGAGACCGAGCCTTATCAAATGGTATATGACACGTATATGGAACTAATTAGAAAAGTCATCCCATGTATTTGCGCAAGGCACCCATTACCTAGTAAATGGTGGCAAAGCAATATCCCTATAGAATGATAAGCTAAGACAGTAGAACTACCATAATGATAGACATCGCTCCCCAAATATCCTTAATGGTGCAAAAATGTGCAACCCAATCATTGTGAACAATCTACAAGTGAAGTTTGAAAATAATGAGCTCCCGGTTGATATCCCAAATGATACATAAACTATACTATGTGTCGCCAAGAAGCCTTTGACATTATGGTCCAGAAGCCTAAGGTCCACATTAACCTTTAAAGGAAATGTGTGGACCTATCATAGGTCAACTAATATAAGTTGCTTCAAAGGAATTAAGATGACACATGCATACGGGGAAGCGGGTGCTCTAGAAACAAAAGGCAACCCATTAAGCAGGTGCTCTAAAACAACATTGAGGCGGAAGTGAGAGGAAAAGAAAATAATGCAAGATAAAGTAAAGCAGCTCACATAGCCAAGTGCTCCATCCAAAAACTATAGCTATCAAGGAAACAGCCCACAACTGGCATGGTGTGGTACAGGTCCTTAAATAGTGAAAAGTGGGTAGGGAGAATGAGAGAGCAGTGGATTGGAGAAACAGCAGATAGAAGAGAGAGTATAGGAGAAGGCTTAGAGAGGAGAGAGATGAAGATGAGGAAGAGAGAATGAAGATGCAAACCGCTCCTCAGTGCACTGGTGGCAAAAGAAGTCGGCCTACTACAACTACATCCTTGGCCAATGTGTCAGCAAGGTGTTGGCTCCGCTGGGTAGATGGGTGAAAGTGTCCGAAGATGCCTTGCAAAGGCGAGACATATGATCAAACAGTTAAGCCAGTCTCCAAGGAGGTGGCTCCAGTTTTGCTGCCCATGATATCGCATTCTTGAGTCCCTTTTACTATTAAGTTGCCAAAAGTTGCTAACGTCCATTAAGCCCTTCTAGGATGACTACTGATTCAGCCATAGTAGAATCAGTGTGTCCAATGCACCATCAGAAGGAGAAGATCTCGGAAGTGTGATTCGAAAGAATACCCCCAAAGAAACAGTTCGAGAAAAATCAGCCTCTAGCACCCTTAAACGGACCCTATAACCGGAACCCTATTACCAGAGCGTCAAATGGTTGTGGGACCACCGCTATTGGATCCGGGACAGTCGAAAACCCCTATAGGTTAAGTTTTGGCTCAATCAGATACTCCAGGATAAAGTTATGGCCGAAATACTATAAAGGAATAGGCCGCATGCTATTCCCGTGCACCCTTCTTGCACCAGTTGCCATTAATGAAGACTGGCTTTCACAGTTTCGGGCTCAACTTTGGAAGGTCGTATCTCCCTCGTCTTTAGTCTGATCGAGCCCAAACTTTGGGAGCATGCTCGTCTCGTCATGCTGAGCGTTTTGATATGTGGCATGACCCACCATGTTGCCCGAGCAGGAAGAAAAGCTAGAGAGAAGTTGACGATTCATGGTAAAAATGCAGGAAAATCAACAGCGACACATCTCGATCGAGCGACCATGTCACGGCACTCGCACAACAGATCAGACATGAAACCAATTCCATTGCGTGCTCGAGGTCTGAGGCTACATTTGGGTCAAACCTCGCATGTGATGAACGGTTGGATTCGACCTACGAGAACGACGAAGTTGCTACAAATTCCGACCAACGGAATTCAGATTCCGGCCAAAAATCCAAAAGTGGAAAATTGTCGTTTAGGCACAAAATCGAGTTGTGCTTGTTGCCAAATGATTGTGATGGCCTGCTCATTATAATTCAGCGAAGAAATCGTGAAGACATGCAGAGAAATGGGCGCAATCTTGATCCAAAGATCGCAAGTTTCTCACAAATTTCGCATCACATGATCGTGGCCCAAAAACGCAATTCGTGATTTGAAATGGGTATCAAAACGATCGTCATTTCGAGCCCAACAAGAAAACAATCATCTTTTGGCAGAACGAGCATCGGAACAACCCCGAATCAACTTTGTAAGATTGCACACGTTCTAGGGCAGCAGTAGGGACTGAATTGGAATTACATGAATTGTTGGGCAAGGGCAAAATCGTCATTTTACCCCCATTTTTAAAATTTCTTTTAATTCCATTAAATTTTAATTTTCAACAATTAGAGTGAATTTTGGGCATCCGCCCATGTTTGGGCCCCATCTCTATATATACACGTAATATCTTAATGTAATAGACCCCAATTGAATGAATAAAAATTAAGGCTTTAGCTTGAGTTAGTGGGCAACGTGGAGAGAGAAAGAGGACAGAGAAGAAAAGGTCTAGTACCTTTGGGTTAAGGTAATTTTCTCTCTCCTCTTTTCTCTCCTCTTTTCTCTCCTCTTTTTTTTTTCTCTCCCTTCTCTCCACTTCTTCCCTTCTCTCTCCTCTCCTTTCTCTCTCTTCATTCTTTCTTTCTCTCTCCTCTTCGTTCTTTCTCTCTTCTTCTTTCTTTCTCTCTGTTCTTCTTTCTTTCTCTCTCCTCTTTCCTTTCCCTCTCTCCTCTTTCCTTTCTCTACTTATCTTCTTTCTCCTCTGTCATGCACGGTGGTATCTACTGCTGAGCATGACGTTCTTTCCTCTATTAGGCTTCTTAGGATGAGTATAGTGAGTCGGGCCCTTTCCCGAGTGGCGGGTCGGGCCTCTGTCCAAGTTACTCCTCTTGTTGTGCACGGCGGTACACATCGCCACGCATGACGACTCTCTCCCTATTCTCTGACAAAGGACACTGACCTAGGCTCTTTCCCGAGTAGCGGGCCGGGTCGTCTCTGAGTCCTTCTGGACATGCACGGCGATGCTTATTGTCGCGCATGTCTTTTCTTCTCTCTCTCTCACTTGTCATGCACGGCGGTGCTTATTGCCGTGTATGTCTC